GGGTGAAGCCCAGGAACCTGTACACAAACGCAATGAAGTCCTCAAAATCGTTAGCTATACTGCAACCAAAATGTATTCGTCCTCTGCGTTGGTGGCGGCATGAAATAGTGTGCTATCACCATGTCTAGTCATTAAATGTTGGAATATACAAACAAAAACGAAAACAAAATGCGTTTCCAACATCGTAGCGCCACAAAACATCACAATGAATAACACTGATATTTTTAAAGAGAAACTGACCTCGCTGCTGTCCACCCGTAAGGACTGTTGAGTCGAGCCCTTTGCGGTCCGGCTGACGTCATAAACAGACTGCCCTTCTTTGGAGACGAGGCCTTGATGTCGTCATCTTCTATGGCTCCTGACGTCATACCGAGGGGGTTGTAGGTGGCTAAAAAAGAAATAGCGACAAAACAAACTTGTCTTATAAATACTAACTTTCAATACTGTGCCCTAGACACAGTGGATCTATTAACCAGTACCCCTTGGACTTAAAAATATCATAGAACCAATGATTTAAAACGAAAATCAACAGTACCTTAAGAGTCATTGCACGAGAAAACCAGGCAGAACCAGGCAGAGGCCGGAAGATGGGGGTCGGCCAAATCGGCTCATACTTTGTATGTGAGATAGGTATGGTGAACTATTAACAGCCATATAGTTAAAACCCTCCAGCTATTTTTCGTTATGGAGTTCTGGGACCCCCCTCTGAGACCCTCAAAAATCTAACAATTTATGGCTGAAAATTACTGAAATTACAATGGATACCATGGTAATTCTGATAATGATATGAACATGGGGTTTCTTTTGTCACATAGCATGGGTCTTCTACTTTTACAAAACAAAAATTGAAGATGCAACATTGAATTTAAAAGGGTATACCAGGGGGTTACCAGAACCAATGAAATCAGAATTTTCATCTTTCTAAATTTTAGTCATTTTTAAGTAGTCTTTTCTCCGTGACGCGGCAATTTTGATAAACGGTTTTACCGTTGCTGGAGAGAGGAACATCTGCTGATTCTAAAACAAGTGTCGTTTAATTGGGCCACATATACCGCGGGCCGTGAACGAAGGGTCTTTATGGGGGGTTTTCGGGTTTTGGACCATAATAAATTAGGTAACAACGTCTCTTAACGGGGTAAATCATGGACACTTTTTGTACAGCTGCATGGGATCAATGGACAAATGTTAAAAAATGATGAAAATAATTAAAAATATTCATTGAGGCTCTACATGGGGGATATAAGGATACTTAAAAAGCAAATTAAACTGATTTTACACAATTTTATCACATTTTATTTCAAATGTCCATGAGTAAGTACCTTTCAAAATCAATTTTGTGCATTCACTTTATGCTAAATAGTATAAAGGCTATGTATGGGGGTTATCAGAACACCATGTGTAAAACTAGCTACCATATACACAAGCCACATGGTGCATACACGTAGATAGAAGGACTCCAAATGAACACTCTAGCAACAGGACTAAGAATATGAGACTTTTAAGCTAAACACAACCGTAAAAACAGGCCAATTCAACTGACGGCCACTGCAAAAATACACCCAGACCATCTAGGATCGCTGTATAAGTCAGGTCGGAAGATAGGAAGGTCTTTGAAATCCACTCATACTCAAGAGGGGTCTTTTTCCTACTACCATTGGCTTCTGAACAGTTAACAGTTTAGCATTTTCTATTTAGAATGGGCAGATCGTAAATGCCTTTAAGACCATATGGCACAAAGGTGATTACAAAAGACTGTAAAATAACACAGCTATCGAAATCATACATTCAATATAGTCTGGAAGTTGGTTTTAATCATATATATTATAATTGAGAATTTAAAAGTTTGCACGGCGTTCCAACAGTGCATTTTTGGAGACGCTCCTGCGAGCTTCGCAATTGCCCGCCTCTGGCATCTATTTTTTCAAAACTTATCTTTGCAAAAGTAAAACATAAATATGCAAAAAGGTCTTCCAGGGCTGGTTTGTACTGTCTTGTCCGGGGTGCGGGGGCATGGAAATTTTGAATGTATCAGGAGAGCTGTGCATATTTATTGTAAACGTCATTGACCATTACCTTGATTTAAATATTCTAATTGCTAATCATCTAAGTCAAACTAAGTCAATCATATTCATTTCATACTTAATTCTTACATTTTAAAACATATCATAATTATTATACGTCTGTGATCTATGATAAGTTAGTTCTTGAGTTGATAATAATTTACTTAGATGTAACATATCAATACTAACAACGACACTCATACACCTGCTAAAACCTGTCCTAGATATTAGTACAAATGCAGAATTGTTTTTTTTTCTTTCTGACTTGCCAAAGTCTCAAAAGTACACATGTCGAAAACTAAATTTTGTTAATGTGCGCACAATGGTCTGTAGAGAAAATGGTCTATGTTCAAAATAGGACCTGCTATAAGTAAATGAAAGTGTTTTGCTATGTGCTTTTAAATTGTTCTATTGTCTTCGATGTTCCCAAGCTTTTTGCTTTAGCACATTAGATCATGAAAGGAGACTTTTCATCTCTCTTAATTTTAGTTCCTCACAAACACCATACTTGCAGGATAGAGGATGTTTAGTTTCATTCAGAAACAAGTCTTGTCTAATTACTGGACCACACATAACACATAAATGGGCCATGGGGCTATTAGATCATACAAATCGATCAGATAAAATATCGCAATAAAGGGCAATATATGGACGTTTTTGTGTAGTTGAAGGAAAACCATGCATAGTACAAACCATGCATTGTCAAAAATGATACCTCTTTAAGGGGGCTCTGCATGGGGGGGGCATAAGGATACTTGAAAAATTAAATTAATCCAATGCTTGCATAATGACAATATCCAGCAATTTAGGCCTGAATTGTTATAAATATATCAAGGAATAGTCGATGATGGTACAGTCAATGATGGAGATACTCTTCTTATTTGAATTGATTGACATTATACTAGTATTGTTACATGATTCTAACTGGTCTGGAATTTTTTTTGGTAAAAATTTACTGCTGATTTTTTATAAGATGATGTATTTTTGATGAATTGGTTTCCTTATCTTATAAGCTGAGTAGAGCCAGATGTTCCTGTATATGTAAATGCTAACTAGTTCATTTCATCCGAAAATGGAAGCCTGAGTATGAGTATATTTGGCTAAGCTCTATTTTCAGTGGCCTTCAGTTGAATTTGCCTGTTTTAAGGTTAAACGCCTCATATTCTTAGTTCTATAGCTAGATTGTCCATTTGGAGTTCTTGTATCTACGAGTATGCAGGGTGTGGCTTGTGTATATGGTAGCTATTTTCACACACGGTGTTCTGATAACCCCCATACATAGCCTTTATACTACTTAGCACAAATTGAATGCACAAAATTGATTTTGAAAGGTACTTACTCATGGACATTTGGAATAAAATGTGATAAAATTGTGTAAAATCAGTTTAATTTGCTTTTTAAGTATCCTTATATCCCCCATGTAGAGCCTCAATGAATATTTTTAATTATTTTCATCATTTTTTAACATTTGTCCATTGATCCCATGCAGCTGTACAAAAAGTGTCCATGATTTACCCCGTAAAGAGACGTTGTTACCTAATTTATTATGGTCCAAAACCCGAAAAACCCCCATAAAGACCCTTCGTTCACGGCCCGCGGTATATGTGGCCCAATTAAACGACACTTGTTTTTGAATCAGCAGATGTTCCTCTCTCCAGCAACGGTAAAACCGTTTATCAAAATTGCCGCGTCACGGAGAAAAGGCTACTTAAAAATGACTAAAATTTAGAAAGATGAAAATTCTGATTTCATTGGTTCTGGTAACCCCCTGGTATACCCTTCTAAGTTCAATGTTGCATCTTCAATTTTTGTTTTGTAAAAGTAGAAGACCCATGCTATGTGACAAAAGAAACCCCATGTTCATATCATTATCAGAATTACCATGGTATCCATTGTAATTTCAGTAATTTTCAGCCATAAATTGTTAGATTTTTTAGGGTCTCAGAGGGGGGTCCCAGAACACCATAACGAAAAATAGCTGGAGGGTTTTAACTATATGGCTGTTAATAGTTCATCATACCTATCTCACATACAAAGTATGAGCCGATTTGGCCGACCCCCATCTTCCGGCCTCTGCCTGGTTTTCTCGTGCAATGACTCTTAAGGCACAAAAGATTCGCTTGAAAGCCAAATCATCAATATATTTTTTGTTGATCCAATGTAAAGCATACTCACACAGGTAGTCTAGGATATACGACATGTACATCACTTGGCTCCACCTCTTTTTAGCTCGAACCTAAAAATGGAAAGAGATAAAAGTTTAAACATAGTCCAAATCACTGTCTTTGTACAGCTTGGTTCATCAGCCAGAACGTATTCACTTTCAACAGGTCAAAATTATACATCAATTTTTACTTGTGAATGTACTTTCTTGATTCAGTAGTACTAATCCGTAAAGAATGTCCCACCCTTGAGTTGTCCTTAAGGTGGATGTTGAACGGCATCTTCCTCATGCCAACCCGCCAGGACAGCTGCAGCCCGTACGGTGTGTCCCACTTCTCACACTTCTCCTCACTGAACACGTCCTCCTCTAAAACAGGGGGGGTTGGGGGGCGACAAAAGAGTCAGTTGTTGACATTTTCAAATGACCCCTGCAGTTCAATAACAGGATGCTAGGTGGGATGCCGGCCCTTCAGGACAGTTGCAGTTTGTCCGGTGTGTCCCAAACATTTTGGGCGACGACAAAGGAGTTAGTTACAAACTTTTGTTAGAATAAGCACCTCTGTAGTTTAATGACAAGTTCCTAGGTGGAGTGCTGACTCGCTGGGACAGATGCAGTCTAAAACCGAAAATATACTGCCCTCTAAAAATATGCATAAGGATAAAAGAACAAGTTTTTAGAAAATAACAACAAAAAAACGTTCCTTCAGTCAGATTAGAGATGTTAGGTGGCTAAATGGTTTACCGCTTCTTTCCACCGTTTAAAGATATCTGTCATAAAATAAAAAGAAAAAAAAGAAAAAGAAATTCGAAGGCACTTGATGGTGGTTCTAATCGATCAGTCTTCCTACAACCCAACACCAAGCTTTTTTTTCTTTTCTTTTGTACGTCTTATGTTTTCTAAAACTGCTTGAGCAGCAGGCAAACATATATGGAAGTATCTACAACAATGTTCCATAGCAGAAGCCGTGCTATTGGTTTACGACACTTACTGGAAGATGTCCTCATTGTCTTGTCCACCAATGATAACAGCTGTAGTGCCCATCTTGAAGGCTGCCCCTGCTTGCAGCCACCGTCGAAGAAGACATGAGCTTCAAAATGGCGCTTCGCCTCGTCTTGAAGATCATTTGCGATCCCTCTCAGGGACAGGAGAAGCTGCTCCATTTCTTCTTCAGACTACAATAACGATAATGATTCAAGTTAGTAGGTTTGTCTACTAGTTATGAAGTTCAATCTTCCCCCCAAATTTTAATTTGTGGAAAACTGTCAAATAGTAAGGAATATAACAAAAGAAGTATACCACAAATGCACGGATACCATTATAAAACAACTTTAAAAGCTTCCAGTGTGTTTAATTTTTTATGAACAAAACAGTAAATATTGTCCAACACATGGTTTAACCCTTAAGGATTAACAAGGGTTAAACATGCATATGTAAAAGGAACAGTTTAAACTCAAGGTGTGTGTGTGTTTGTGTGTGTGTGTGTGTGTGTGTGCGTGTGTGTGTGTGCGTGTGTGTGTGTGCGTGTGTGTGTGTGCGTGTGTGTGTGTGTGTGTGTGTGTGTGTGTGTGTGTGTGTGTGTGTGTGTTTAAGTGAGTGAGCGAGTGAGTGATTGAGCGAGTGAGAGAGTGAGTGAGTGAGAGAGAGAGTGAGTAAGTGAGTAAACGAGTGAGTGAGTAGGATGTTGAGTGTGTGTGTGTGTGTGTTTGTATTTTGTGTTATTGTGAGCATGATTTAATGCTCAATCCAAATCACCCAAACTGACACTTGGAAATTCTATTATATTAAAAAAACGAGTCATAATAAGAAATATTTGAATCTATTACAACACGTACTTCGTGGTACATGGTACTGCAGATGTACACGCATGCGTTCTTGACAATCTTGGTCCGTTCCTTGAACTGTTTCTTGTTGTTGTAGCGGGTCTTTCTGCTGAGGATCAGCCACTGTTCCAGGAAGATGTTGTTGTATCCTGGCAACCAGAAAATCTAAACAAAGAAAATGACTTCTGTTATCAGCCATTGTCAAGTGTCCATGTGATGCAGCTAATATATTCAAGCATCCAAATACAAATTCAGGGCAGCAAAACAGGACATTAAAAGTCCATGTTTGCCATTCTCCAATCAATTATAGTAAGGTGAATCAATCATATCCAATGGCATGCTGATGTCTGTGAAGCAAAAATGCAAAGAAAGTATAGCTGTTTGTATCATAGGCTGTTACTAGTGGGCGCTACCTAAAAACTAGAGAAAAGGGATGCTTCATGTAGCTTCTTTTGGGCTATATCAAACACTTCATGTATGAAATAATGACAAAATGTGTTATGAAATGACAATACATTTCAATAGCAGACAGAATTCCTCATACAGAATAGTGTTTTCTTTCGCCCCACTGAAATTGCCTTGCAATCCTTTAAATAGCAATGTTGTATTTATGTGACCCATAACTGAATACTATTCATGATGTGTGAATTTTAAAAAATGTAAATAATTCTTTTAAAAGCAATAAGATTATTCAATATGCACTACAATTACTATTTATTCGTATTTAATTGCTCAATGGCCCCTTAACGATCGGTGCCACAGTAGAAAGGAAGTGCAAATTGAAAATTTAAAAGAATACCTTAGAATCTTTCTCTAGAACGTTTGTCGGGCTCCTAGCTAGGAAACTCCAGATGGAGATCAGCTGTGCCAGGAACAGGCACACTGCTGCCGGAATGCCCCAAGCGTAGCTATGGCATAAAATAGACATCTTTGTACAGGCAAAAACTTAATACGTAGCGTTAACAAGTAAGTAGTTTAGATTCTATCATAGTCTAGGCATACGTTTTAAGCACACATGAATGAACTTCTATTAAACTTTGTGCGATTTCTTGTCTAGAGATATTCGTATGCATTTTTTTTATTCCAACATGTAATCACCAGACGTGGTGACGGCACACTCAAGTTTATTCAACTCATATTATTGCCGCCACCAACACAAATACAAGACAGGATAATACATTTACACCTGAGCTAAGTGAGGAAAGTCGTGTAAAGTGCATTTCCCAAGGGCACAAGATCGGTGGCATGTCAGGACTCGAACCCGGGACTCTTATGCATTAAAGAGTTTGTAAATTAAAATGTAAATACCTTCTTTGTTGTGGCTACAATGCACGCCTCAGAAGTAACGTTTACAGGTATTGTTTAGGTTTTATTGCAGCCTATACATGGGCATTTATGCACGCATAAATTAAACATCCATGGCGAATAAGTGAACTTCTATTACACTTTGTGCGATTTGTTTTGTCAATAATGCATTGTACATTTGGTGAATACAAACTGTAGTGTAACAGTAAATACCTACCTTGCAGTGTCCGCTATGCACGCCTCAGTAGGTATGAATACTTCACAGATGGGAACAATGAAGGCGAACAGGTAGGCAAAAACCGTGGCTAGAAGATAAGAACAGGCTTTATTTATAACTTCTAAGTATTAATACCTACACTATGCATCAAGATGTATGAGGTGGATACATTTACAAATACTGTGATACTATACCATGGCAGTCACCAGTCAGCATCGCTTTACAGTGTATATGAAAAGTGGACTATAATTACACTATTGTATATAAATACGTCTTTATGTCTATTCTGTACAAGTTAGACGTCCGTTTTTCTCTCTGCGCTATTGAGTGTGTGTGTGCGCGTGCGTGTGTGTATATGTGTGTGTGCGTGCATGTATGTATGTGTGTGCGTGTATGTGTGTGTGTTTGTGTGTACGTTTGTGTGTGAGTGTATGTGTGTGAGTGTATGTGTGTGCGTGTGTCTGTGTGTGTGTGTGTGTGTCTGTGAGTGTCTTTTGTGTGCGTGTAGGTGTGCATGCGTGTGTGTGTGTCTGTGTGCGTGTGCATGCGTGCGTGCGTGCGTGTATATAATGTGTCTGTGTCTGTGTCTGTGTGTGTGTGTGTGTGTGTATTCGTGTAAAAGAGCATTTTGTGTAATACATCCTGCAGTCAAATGGTCCTGGTCAAGAGAACACATGTTCTGTGCAAAGTCTACTGAGAGAAGACATGCTATTCTATAATACTAGTATATCAAGTCAAAGGTGACTCACAAAGAAGTAGCGGCACGGCAAAGCCCACGTGGTAGATACAGATGCTGCAGGCGAACATGCAGAAGACGTAGGCCCCAAAACTGGTGAAGATGTTGACCAGGAATGAGTTTATGGCAGGGTGGGACATGTTAATCTGTGACCACGCAGTCCAGCTCCACATTACCTAAGAATTAAAGTAATGGATTTTTATGTAGATAACAATGGGGTCATGAATTGATGTTGCGCAACAGTGATGTACAAGTAGTGGGCTTCCATCACGTGGTGAACACGGGCGGGGCACGACCTGTCTTAGCCAATCACAGTGTGAGCTTGATCCGCCCTAACCAATCGCAGTGCAGATCTACACGTGCTCCTAAATTTGCCGCGTCTTTCAGAATTTCTCGGCCCACTCGGACGAACCACGGTAGCGACCAGTGGGAAAAGAAGTTTCCATTGTTAATTTTTGTATATTGTAAAGATCGTTAATTTTGTAACAAAAAAATCATATTAAGAACTGTCATCCATTTAGCATTATCGACATCGTTCTCCCGTCGTAAACAGAAATATTATTTTAATGAAAATATTGCAAACATACTGAGTGATTTTAATTTTAATATTACACATGTCTTAGCTGGAAATCTCAGAATATAGAGAAATGTAAAGGTTATTTTATGCATCCGCACATAATGTAGTTAAAATGTATTTAAAGTATGACAAACCTCTGCCTTGCCTATCTTGAATGTGTAAACGTACAGCGTCACCACTGCAGGCGTTAGAAGTAGTTTCAAGAAGCTTGTGATCATCCCAGACCTCCAGCGGGCGTCTTTATCCGGCCTGGTCCTCTGGAACTTCTTCTCCTTGTCCTCTTCTTCGTCGTCGTTGTCGTCGTCGGCTTCGTTCGGGTCTTTTCGGGATTCTTCGTCTCCCTCTTCGGTGGCGTCCCATCTTCGTGTCTGTAGTTTTTGCACGACGGGCGCCCAGGCTAGGGAGAGTAGCAACACGGACAGAGGAACCTTCCAGCCGGAGTTCTGGTCTAAATCGGCCGTGAAATACACAATAACACCGAAGGACCCTATTGCCAGTATCGTCGACACCAGGAAGGCAAGTAGCCATTTCCAAGACGCGGGTCGATCTTCTTTCGGACGGATGAATTTGTACACCTCGAAGACAAGTTGGAAGACTATTTGAACGATGTAGATGCTGTTCATGAGCAGGATACCGAGAGCGCTGCGTGTTGTGGACAACGCTTCTATCACCATCAGACACAGCGCGAACACCTCTGCTACACTTGCTATGAAGCCCTAGAAATATTAATTGAAACAAACAATCGTGGGGTCTTATGGCGTTACGGCGGAGTGCTCGACTCAGAACCAAGAGGTCCCGGGTTCGAGTCCAGATATATACCAACGACCTTGAGCCCCTGGAAAAGGGGCACAAGATCGTAGTGATGCAGTGATATGTGATGCTGGCTGTGTACATGAGATGTTCCCACTGAATCAAAACCATTTGTACAATGATTGAGTCAAAGTTTTAAAATGGAGGAACATTTTTTTTTCGGCCCGCCTTTTTTTTTTGCCCGCTCGCATTAGATTTGGAGTCTGCAGAGGATGTCATCCATGAAATTTACTTGCTGTGATTAACTTGCCTATCAAGACATGTTCCACATATCCAACTCATCATGGTGGCTTCGATTATCCTATAATGGGTTATCATTGACTAGTACACTATAATAAATGTAGCGCTGTGGCGTTCTACTTTGGATTGGTGGTGTTTTTATTGTTATTCTTAAGTAGGAGAAGCGTGATACTAATCAGCTCATTTTGTTATCTCATTTACATAATGACGTCACTTCAATTTGCATGTTGGTTTGATTACACACGCCAGTAGATAAGTCTAGAGGCCATAACTCCGTGACATTTACAGAATCTGTCCTTGAGCATATCGGTGCAATCCCCTTGTTTGTACAAGAGGCTCTTAAGATTATTGATGACCGTAAATTAGTAGTCCTTAAATCTAATCTCAAAGCAGATGTTAGGCTTTATCTCGGTGTGTTAGACTACCTTTGCGCCAGACGGCGACGCTAATTTCCGTCTCGTAAACGGTCGATGCCATATCGCAGAACGGCTAACTTTAAGTGTATCAGCACGGTCCATCCACACCGTGATGTTTTGTGGCGTACAGGTTACGGTATAGGTTAGGGTTTTAGAGCTATATACTTTCGGACCTGGGTTCGAATCCGAGGTTGTGCGTTTTGTTTTTTTCACTAATGTTTACAATTCTACACGACCCTCCCTTATATTTACAATTAGAATATTGCTTTTTATAGTATATATTACTTTTTATTCGTTTTTGGACCTCAAAAAAGTTATGTTACGCTCGGATATGTTGCATCGACCATTCAGCGAAATGACATCGACCGTTTCAAATGGCTTCAACCGTTTACGAGACGGAAAAATGCGACGGGGACGAAAGTTTCCGACCGTACATGAAACAAAATTAAACTTTCGTGGTGCCGACAATGGTGTTTTAGGGATTTTTAAAAATTGCACTAAATTTGTGAATTATGGGTAATTGAGTATAAAAAATAAAAAAAAGTTAATTTCTTTATACCTAAACTATACTTAAAGTCTTTTTCATATGCATCTTATACCTAGTCGTCGAAAACTATTAGAATCAGTGATCTTGCGTAATATATCGAACGATTATTGGCTAAAATATGGCGCTCCGAAATCCCTAAAACTATCCACTTTTCTAACGAAATAAAAAGAAATCACCCACTTTGCGCAAAAATTACCGTTGAATGTATATAAAGACTATAATTTTATTTTATTTCAATGAAAGTTTTCCTTCGATACTATTTTATTTATTTTCAAATGTTTTACGGTTAGCCCAAAATTGCGTCTTGTGACCCGCAATGGGAAAGAATGCCGTAGTGACAGACCGCCTCGCAGAAACGATGACCCTTGTTTCACCTGTACATTGTTATGACCCCAGTCTGTAATCAGTCTTTACAAGTAGGGCAAACGTCTGTAATGTTGACTATGTAAACAACCCTCCCGTCACCTTATCTCAGCCAAAGCTAATACAAACACCTCAGTCCTTCAAACTAGGAGCACGTGGACACGGATCAACATTTGCTAGCAAATGCAAATCATTTCCCCTACGTTTACTCGTATAAAATTGTAACAGGGATGCTTTCTTGTATTTTTTCCGATTATTGGTCCATTTTAACATCAACAACCTAATCACATTCAAAAGTAATAGATATGGGTAAATTATTCAAATGGCCGCATGTATAAAATATATATACATAAAGACCTACATTTACACAAAATTAATAGTTCGTTATACCGTTATATCCGTGAAACTCTAACGACAAAATAGTGATGTTGTACCACAAGTACTTAGTCAAATGCTACGGAAAAACTGCTAGATCCTCTTAGACCTAACATCAACAACCTAATCACATTCAAAAGTAATAGAAATGTGTAAATTATTCAAATGGCCGCATGTATAAAATATATATACATAAAGACCTACATTTACACAAAATTAATAGTTCGTTATACCGTTATATCCGTGAAACTCTAACGACAAAATAGTGATGTTGTACCACAAGTACTTAGTCAAATGCTACGGAAAAACTGCTAGATCCTCTTAGTTTAAAAAGTATTTAGAAAAAGCTTATTTAGTTGGTAGAATCTATAACTAATGAGTCTAGGTTTTGTTTTACTTTTGATTCAACATCAAGATCATCACGCTTCCAGACGGTCAGTGGATCACACATCTGGCAAAGGTGACCAGGTCGACTGAAAATTTATGGTGAGTTCTTTTCTTGTGTTTGAAAAAAAAAACTTTTAAGTTTAAAAACGCTTTGTCTCATTTTAACAGTGTTTTCATTATGTTCCTAGATAAAGAATAAAAGTGTTTAAGTTAGTAGAATATTCCTTGATCAGTGACGCTTTTTCAAAGGTAGAAAAACGTACGTCCAAATTTTGGATGTCAACTGTACATCTCCGCAAGGAGGCGGGGGAGGCCAGAAGATCTCGACCTAGTTTTGTGTTCTCGCGAGACTAGGTCACTCCGTGATCAAGATGTTCAGTTGACATCGAAAATGTGGAGGTACGCGTTGCTACTTTGCAAAAACAGTCAATGATTAATGAATATTCTACTAACTGATAATTCTACGTGACTGATGAACATCTTTAATATTAAGTGTTCAAGTACTCACAACTCCCAGAGCCAGCAAAGAAGGCCATGGAAACGACACACTGAAGCCGGTGATCCAAAAACATCGCAGGAAAATCAGTCCGTACGGAATCATCAGGACCAGGAGTAACATGTTCACTATGGGCTCCGGCGGCTCGTCATCACACGGGTCAAAGATCCGTATAGGCCGCGAAGTTGTGGGTACGGTGACAGGAACAGCCGTTACTGTTACTGAATGAATGAAAGACATTTATTGTACACACATACCCACTGGGTTAACCGTTGTCATGCTGACATTCCTTGCACAATATTTTTTAAATAATTTCATGTCTTAATTAGATCATAGCCCCCCAAACTTTTTTGCCCTGCGGTGGCATAGTTACTTCCGCATTCGTTGCGTTTCGCTGTGGTGTGATGCGTTGCAGGAGAAATACCCCCAAATCGTACCAATACAGGGTGTTATATGGATGGAACTGTATGTGCAGAACAACAATTGTTCGTGCTCAGAAAGTACAGGTCACAGTAAAAAGATGGTATCCTGGTAACGCTAAATATATACATCGTCAAGTAACTACGTACATCAAAATCTAGTAACTATAAGTAAGTAAATTCGGTTTCTTCTCGTTTCTTAGTAATGGCAAAAAGCTTAAGGTAACAACAGGTGTTTTGTTACAGAAGGTTTGTCTAAGTTCATTAGAAATATAAATTCATCTGTACAGTTTAGATGTATGAAGAAGGGAACATAGATTGTATCAGATTATAAATATCTACCCTCTCTTTGTGGTATAGTTGTTACATTATATTACAAAATGTTTCTCATATTATCATGAAAGTTCATCTGAGTTGGTAGTAATCATAGTAAAACGTTAAACTTTATTCCAACAGACAGTAAACCGTAACTCTCGCGAGATCACGTTGTGAAGTGATTGGTCATTAATTATCCTGATGAAGGCGACAGTGGTCGTTGAAAATTTGATCTCTCTGTAAACTGTGTGTTGGAATAAAGTTTAACGTTTTAATAAAATGTTTCCCATCCTTAATTCTTTATATTAGATAACAGTATTGTATTAAATTCATATCTTCAGTTATTATTTTTATATATACTATTGTTTCATTATTGTTATTTTGTGTTCATTTTGCCTATGTTTGAATTATTTTGCTAACAATTCCTTATGTATATATGTATTATTTCATATCAATTTCATTTTATTTCTATTTTATGTATACTACTGTTTCATTATTGTTATTGTATCATTTTGCCCATGTTTGAATTATTTTGCTAACAATTCCTTATGTATGCATGTATTATTTCAATTCAATTATGTTTAGTTTTGGTAAGTATAGAGGAGGAGGGCTTAGCATAAGCTAAATAAGCTTTTTTCCTTCCTCCTGCACCTTTTTTATTTATATTATTAGTGTATTATGTATAATTTTATTGCTGTTGTGCAAATAAACAAACAAACCATACCTGGCGAGTTAGTAGGTGCTTGTACACGGCTTCTGTTGAATCGCGCATCAGACAGGCACTCGGCTAAAGAGATGGTGGACACCTTGCTAGCAGTGAGGCATGCCAAGACGACTAGCCCGATAAAGATGGCCAGGAGGAGCTTCGCCACTTTAAGAAGCATGCTGGGTTCGTCGTCCATACTGGCGACTTTCTCCTTAGCTTTGTGCTCGACTGTAAGATCGACGTCTTCGAGGTCTGGGGCCGACTTGACGTCGTCTTGATGTGGTAGTCTCGACGCCATGATTGTAGAACTGACGACACAGAACTTGTTGGCAACCTGGAGTGGTGATCATTTGTAGAATGGTATAACCAACGTAACTGTTGTTATCATGGGTGCAGACATGTAACAACGAAATAGACTTTTCAACTCTCAAAGGAAAAGAGGAGCAGTAAATAACATGCATGATGTACAAAATGACTAATAAACTTCTGGACGTCTCAACTACTAAGTACTTAATACCAGCCCAAAAGAGAACAAGAAATAGCCATGCCTTCAAGTACCAGAGTTATCAACCAAGGATTGAGGTGTTCAAGAATTCATTCTTTTCTCGAACTATAGCAGAGTGGAACTTTCTGTCACCAAGTACATTAGGGACATTGTCATTAGATAGCTTTAAACAATGTCTAGAGTTAGATGTTCAAGGGTTAGGTGTAACAAGTCAAACATAGGTGTAACGTAGCCAGCTGCCGCCGCGCCGCGTGCCTGCGAAGCCGAAAGGCGGTTATACCGGCAATACAGATACAGATACAAAAATCTTTAACGTATCTTCTCTAAATTTATGTGTAGATTGTTCTAGGTTAATGTTTGTTTAACAAAATTTCTTCAAAATATGCGAAAGGGGTATAGAACAGGTGATATCACCCTTTTCTTCACTTATAATTACCCCCAATATGCAACTTATTTCAACATGGATTAACATTAGAAAGCTAGGTAGTAGTATTATAGGATGTTCGACTTTTCACTTCATGATCTGTCTTCCTTGTATAAAATTGTATACGTTAGAATGACAGGTACGTGAAGATCTGACTACTACTTTATAACAGCATCTTTGTATCTGTCAGGCTTATAAATACACCGATAAAAGCTCTCAATGTATGTGTTTGTTTAAAAAACATAAGTTTAATACTGCACTTTGCCTTACATGCAACTGGCCGATAAAATTGTTTTACAATAAACTTTTTACTTAACTTGAGTACAACAATTTACACGAAATTGAAAGTAATACCAACTTAAAAAGTGACGTCGCTTGCAGTACAGTATAAATATTTGCGAAAGCTGTTGGCTCTGGCGGAGCATAGTACTTTACATACTATTGTTCAAATCCTAAACAAGGTGCCATGTATAGACCGCCACAATAAATTTAAGAATTTAATGTATTATTTTTTTCATTATGACGACGAAATAGAAATTGATCACGATTCACAAGGAAAGAATCATTAATTTCAATCTAATACAACGTTACTGTATTATGTTAGAAATGTCATGAGATGTACGTTTGGTTAAAAAAGGATGCCGTTTACTAGATCAGTGTACCTGTAACAGTGTGGGGATTATAGGTGCTACCGACTGACCCGAGCGACGGGTCCAGACCTTTTCAGCCGAGCGGTTAGAGCGTCTGACTGGTGCCCCAGAGGTCGTGAGTTAGAACCCCGGCCCGGGACCAGTGGGTTTTTATCTGTTTCTCCTGTTTTTTACATACCTTTTAGAGAACTTCTCTAATGCCTTTATGAAACTCTTGTGGAGGGAGCTATGGGCCAGTTGCTGGCCTGAGCATTTTGCCAGGTAGGCAGGCTCTAATGCCTAAAAGCCTAGTGAGCCGATTCAGTAAAGAAAACTTTGTTAGTCTAACTGACCTACCTGGCTCCCCCACCCCATAAGTAAACTTATTATCGGCACTGTTTACAGCATGGGAACGTGCCTAGTAAGGCGTGAACAGTTCTCACCAGGCTGGGTGTTTTGACTACTCTCCAAGCAGAGGTTTGGGTTTTGGGGTTATTTTTGGAGTGTTTTTAGGCTTTTTTTTATCGGGGTTTCTCTTTTGCACTAAAATCTTTTTCTCATTATTGCAAGTTAAAAGCCTCTCCAAAAAAGCACCCCTATACTGGTTGAATTAGACAGAATAGGGGTCCAACTTATGGCATAGGAGGTCCCATAAGAGGCCCCCATGCTCAAATAGTCTAGTGAGAGCTCAGCTAATTAGCTTTATCACATTTATTTGATATGAAAATGGTGTGCATTGTGATAATTTAACCTGTTTGTACCGTGATCTGTGTTGGATCCCTAACCCTGCCTTATGCTATTATTCTGTATGATGGCGTTATCCGCACATGTACATTATTTAGCTTTGTTAGATCTTTAGTTGTAGAAGACCATACAAACGTTCCTGTACTTTTTTGATGTGTCAATAAAAAATCTACAGTATATGCTATATGCTATTGCCCAAGGAAACAAGAACGGGGGCATGGCAGGATTTGAACCGAGGACCTTTTGGTTCCAAGCCGAGCCAAAAGCTCTGCCGTTACGCCACACGGCTACGTGTCATGTTCCGGAACCGTGCCTGGGGCAAGTTTACGTTCTACATGCCTGATTCTTAGCCCTGTCAGGTTTCAGAAATGGCTGGGAAGAGTAAAAATTGGCCAAGGGGAGTTGGTCTGCTGTATACAAGTGCATTTGCCGCTGCGGACAGACTTCCATGGCACGGTTCCGGATACCATGATGTTTAAGAACGCTCATTAAGCAAAGGTTTTGCTGCAAAAATAAACACACGTCCTCTATAGCCAGAGCTTCTCTGCTTCATAATGCTAGAATGTCCGTTTTAGGTATTTCTTATGACTGGTACAATTAAACTGTAAGAAACAGGAGGAGCGAGTAGAAACAGATAAAAAACCCTGGTCCCGGGCCGGTGTTCGAACCCACGACCAAGCCCGGGCACCAGTCCACATGCCGACGCTCTAACGGTTCGACTAAAAGGTCTAGACCCATCGGCCGGGTTAGTTAGTAGCTCTTACAAACTCCCCACTGTTACACTAACCCCAGCCTGGGATCAGAGGATTTTTATCTGTTTCTACTTGCTCCTCCTGTTTCTTACAAAACATTGCACGTACGCACACATACCAAGAAGAGGAGAAGAAAAAATATAACCAACCTGAAAAAATCCACGCTAGGTCGAAGAACTTCGAGCTGGCAACACGGGCGACACTGCTTAGTAGAGGCGTGAAACCATGCAGTCACTAAGATATTAACAAGACCAGATACGACTTGCAAACAATACGTAGATGAAAGATCCCGCCTACATCCGAACCGACTACAGTCTCACCGGCGATGCAGTTTTAACGTACTTTCTAAACTACGTCCGAACGCCTCAGGCACCTCCTCGGTCTAGTTCTACATTCATGTAGTGCCAATGTTCTACGTCTACCTGCGGAAATGCTATGTGTAAACGTGTAAACGCCCCTCCCACTACTGAGAATACCTAAGCGTGCACCTAGGGTCAAAGTATTGTTTACAAGCAGCTGAGAGGGCTCCCTCGGCAAATAAAAAATTCCGATGGAGACCTGCGTCAAGCTAATGATTTAGTTTACAGACGTTTTATGTGGGTTAGAGCTGAAATATGTATGAAGGGGGATATAACGTCACCGGAAGTTGTAATACGTTCTATGTTGTTGTTGAAGAATGTGAAAAATGAAGTGTCCGTGGATGTGGTGCGTAGGTATGTCATGTCCAGTAGTTGTTTTGAGGTAGAGAATTCATGCTGTCTAATTAAGAACGTACCATGTCGTCCTAAAACAAACTATTTAGTCCTAGAAATTGCTATAAGGCCACACCAATTTAATTTCTTGGTTAACGGATTTTTCTAGAACAATAATGGAGCGGGCGGGCGAAAAAAAAACAAAAAATAAAAACAGGCCTAGGCTTAAAATGCTACTATAGGAGCCATGAAGTCAACACACCAGGCCGGTTCAGAATTTAAACAATGAATTTTGAACTTGTAATAATACCACTGCATTGAAAGATGGAATAACTGTTTGAAAGAAAAGAACTGTTTTCAACTTTTCAGGGCAAAACATGAGCATTTTGCAGTTGATTCTGAATTTTTCTTTTTTTTTTTGCAAATCAGAAAAAAAATGAAGCGGGCGAATCCGTTAACCAAAAAATTAAATTGGGGTGGCCTAAGTATGTTGCAATTCCATACAAATGAAATTGCGTCAAATGCTGCGTAGGCATTCTAACTTTGTTCTTAGCTCAAAATATGTCAAATTAAAAATGAGACAGACCTCGTATAGCCGTTTGTCGTTAATGTTTATTGGCAATCTAAAGTATGTAAAAATACATCTTTGCTACTCGAGTGCGCTAACACATTGTGTTATACCACTTCATTCAATGTATAAATTAGAAATTACAAGCTCCTCGCTGTCCTTAAAAACTCTGTATATTTGCATGAGTCATTTCAAAAAAGAACGTCTTACGTGACATTGAGTCATTACCAGGATTGTACTGCTGTACATCAAACGACCCCCAACAAAATGCATGTACTTACTTAAAATATATCCCTTACTGCTTTACATATATTTTGATACACTTTCTCCAGCATATTTCTAGCCATCTCCCTCCTCATTCTAAAATAATAGAGTGTTCCATATCAGTCTTTTTAATGAAGTGATATTTAGTATGAAGTGTTTCTCTATATCCCTGTAGTCCTCAATACCCAATATTTATTTTACAATCTTACTTACATGTACATACTTCAATGCTTAATGGTCAAATCACAAGGCTTTTAATGCGGACTACATGTACAAACTGAAACCCCAACAAAATACTTGCTTAAAATATATACCTTACTGCTTTACATACATTTTCATACACTTTATCCAGCATATTTCTATCCATCCAACTCCTCATTCGAAAATAGAGTGTTCCATATCAGCCTTTTTGATGTAGTGCTCTTTAGTTTGAAGTGTTTCTCTGTATCTTGTAGTCCCCAATATCCAAAATCGCACTTATTTTAAAATCTTACATACTTCAATGCCTATGGTCAAATCAAAGCCCTTTGATACGGACTACATGTGGTTACTGAAGCCGAAGGTGTTTTTTTTTACCATTTACAGTTACAAACTGAAGTTGTGAAGCGTCGTGGTCTAAGGTAGTTTTCTATAGCCAAGTACCATTACCATTGACCCAGTATCGTTAATACAAATGTGCACTACGAGATATGAAATGCCTTGTTACGACCAAACTATGTAATAAATTCAACTATAAAACAAATTGACTTACGAGGCCATACTAAGTACAATGTACATGTAGGTAGGCATGGTGCATTTCTTACAAAATAAAGTAAGTAATTATATGTCCATTTATAGACTTAGGCCTCCCATCAGGCTAAATATGTTAACTTAGTAATGTTAGTAAGTATAGATACTAGTAATGAAACATACATGTTTACATCATTTCTAGACTCATGTCTCTCATGGGACTAAGAAATCATAGTACTAAAATGAATACGTAACATTAATTATGTTTAACGAAGGAAAACATGTTGTTTTTACTCAATTTCCTCTTCTCCAAACACTAACCTCTGACCTGGCCAATGACATGATTTGTTGACGTCTGTCACCATGGTGACTGGTGTTGGGATACATAATGTTGCAAACTTCATGGTCTGCTCTGCTCCTGTCACCATATACTAGTAGTAACTGTGTTACATGTATGTGAATGTGTTGGAGTAAAAATTAACAGAGCAGACCATGTCCGAAGGTAAACATTATGCATTTGCTTTGCAAATGCTACTTTTCTAATTCACCATTACCTTACCATGTCATGCCATTTCAAATGCTGATTACAACTATGATTCTTCTCATAACCTTCTCCTTTGAGTAAGCAAATTGTATTAAAAACTGCAAATCACCAAAGGTTTAGGATCCATTACTACAATAAAGTCAGCCAAATATTTAGAAAGCAGCTCTGGATTTTTTTTATATACATGTATACAAATCAATTGCTACTGTTTTTGATAATTTTTAAGTATGAGTTCTGGCATAAAAAGACACTAACACAATAAAAAAGTCCTAAGGGAGATGAACAGTCCTGGTAGTTAAAAAAGTAGAGCAAAGTTGATAATCAACCAAAAATTTTAACACATCAAATCCACAATCACGAGATATTTATACATTTTAATACAGTTGTTAAGTAAAATAAATGAATAATATAGTTTTAACGCCTTACTCACAATCCCAAATACTAGTAGTTGATTCGTTTCTTTTCATTGTATAATTTGGTGTAAATGTAAGCCAATTTTGATGACCAAACATATTTGGGTACTACAAACACTTTAGTGTTAACTGTTTCAAATGTTATGACATTTGCGGAAAAACTGTTGGCCCTTCCGCTTCCGTCTTTGTACTCTATTTCATCCAAAAATACAAGCCGTTCCAGTCTGTTGGAATGAGGGCCACCAGATCCCAAGAAGGTACCGGAGTCTTGCATTAAAGAACACTTGTAGTTTGGTCATGTTGTGTTTCGTCAGTCCCCATTTGTCGCATCCATACATTAGGACAAATTTTACATTCAATTTGGTCTCGAACAGCCTGAGCTTCGTTTTCAGTGAAAAGCTTTTGGATCTCCAGACTGGCTTTAGTTGGGCAAATGCAGTTCTGGCCTTTCCAATACGGGAATCCACATCTTTACTGGATCCTCCATCCTTACTGATGACACTCCCAACGTACGTGAATTCCCTTACTGTTTCTAGTTCTTCTCCCCTACATCAAACGGGTTTAGCATTTCCAGTTGTTTTGACTCGGATTCCCTTGGTTTTTTTCGCATTTACTCCAAGTCCCACTGTACTGGAGTTCTGCTCCAGTTTCTTTGTCTTGTCCCTCATCTGGTGAATGATGTGGCTCATGCAGGAGGACAAGGTCATCAGCAAAAACCTTCACAGACTGCAAATCATGTAAACCGAAGGTTATTAATAATAAAATCAGTTCTTTCCTTTAGCTACAACTAGCTGTACCTACATGCTATATATATACGTAAAATCCATTAATTTTGATATTTCTAGATTATGCTGCCCACAAAAATGGTATAGAAAAAAGCCCACACAAATGGTATGGAAAATAAAACCATTTTGATAAAGGTCATAACAGCAATAAATATTTATTCTGCATGTGCAGTATGTGGTATCCGCCATCTTTGTTAACACTAAGGGTTTACGTCTACATGTTTTTATGGTGCATTCGTTAATATTTGCGTGGTAGCAATCAAAATTCCAAAACAAACAAAAGATAAAGGGCAATAAATATATTTTATTCCTTAGAAAACTAATCAAAATTTGTTTATCATTCTAACTACATGTACATACAGATGAAAAAATAAATACTAACCTAAGTGACAGTGTTTTCCGGTCCACCCTTTGCGACAGATGCAAATGTACCCGTCGTTGTTCTTAACATTTGCACAATGTCCATGTTTGCATGGTTTCCTAGCACACTCTCTAGCTGTATATCAATAGAAATGATATATAAGCAAATTGAACATTTTCAAGGGTGTCAAACGAAATTGAAATAGGATTGTAATAATACAATAAAATTGAAAATAAAAAATATGACAAGCAAACTATACAATCATAATTGTTCCTATGAAATTAATAAAAAAACTAGCCTTGGTGACAGTTCTTTCCAGTCCAATTACGTGAGCAAATGCATCTGTATCCGCCCTTCTTGTTTACACATCTTCCGTTTTTACATGGCTTTCTGGCGCACTCATTAATATCTGTGTTAGAAAAGATACAAAATTAAGTCAGCAAAATCTTTAATTTAAAAGATGAGTATATAAAGAGAGAAAGAAAAAAGGACCAAGACAGAATGGAAAAGAAGAGTTAATGAAATGAAATTCAAAATTAATGGAAAAACAATTTTATTCTTAATATTCTTTATAAACATAGATAAACATGTACAATTCACCTCGCTGACAGTTTTTTCCAGTCCATCCACGATCGCACAAGCACATGTGTCCGCCATCTTTGTTCACACAGCGCCCATGTTGACAGGGATTCCTGACACACTCATCTATGTCTGTGGAACAAAAAAGGGATACATGTGTACTGTTTATAAAAGTTGACGTAAAGTAAAACACAGGGTATTTGATTCCAGTCAATCAATTTAACAAAATAAACCCTTTGTGCAATAGGGAAATCAATTATGTGGAATCCCTCAGGTGTTAGTCTTCTGTATCTGTATCTAGATCTGTACAGCCGGTTTATCCGCCCTTCGGCGGGGCGGCAGCTGTAAAACATTACACCGAATGGCCTGTTACATCTAACCATTAAACATCTAAGTCTGAACACTGCCGGAATCTATCTAATGACAATGCCCCTACTGTACTTGGTGACAGCAAGTTGTACTCTGCAAAAGTTCTAGAAAAGAATGAATTTTTAAATGGACTCACCATTTTGACAGTTTTGTCCAGTCCATCCAGGTGAGCAGACACAATTGTATCCGCCATCTTTGTTTAAACAGCGGCCATGTTTACATGGATTCTCTTTACACTCATCGACATCTGTTTTGTTAAGAAAACAATAAAACATTATCTTTTAAAATTTCTAAACCGTGTTTAAAAATTCAATGAATGTTTAAAGAGAAAAGAGAATCAAATATCAATTAATGAGTAATACTGCATTTAGTAATTGGCAACGTATTCGATGAACTCACCATTTTGGCAGTTCTGTCCAGTCCATCCCTGAGAACAGGTACAACTGTATCCGCCATCTTTGTTCTCACATCGTCCATGTTCACATGGATTCTCTTTACACTCATTGACGTCTGTTTTGTAAAGATAACAACAAAGCATAATGTTCAAAAATATTCACAAATACACGATTTTAAACGATTAAGCACTAGTCTCAATCAAGCTCGATATATATTAGATAAACATGGCATTTAGTATTTAATTGCTTATTGATTGGACTCACCATTTTCACAGTCATGTCCAGTCCATCCAGGTGAGCAGGTACAATTGTATCCGCCATCTTTGTTCACACAGCGGCCATGCTCACATGGTTTCCGGTCACACTCATCGACATCTGTTTTGCAAAATTACCATTAAAACAACAGGTTAAAAAAAATCATGAAATTGAAAAAAAAAATAGATTACGTATTTAAATTTTGTACAATTAAACACTGCTCTTATAAAGATTGGTATATATTGAATGAACATTTGAATATTTCATTGGGCTGACCTTGTTGACAGTTCTGTCCAGTCCATCCAGGGTGACATTTGCATTCGTATGCGTCATCCTTCATGAAACAGGTTCCATGAAGGCATGGGTTCCTAGCACATGGGTTGGGGTCTGTGTAGCAACAAAAAAGAAATCCATACAAACAAATTTAACTAATTTTAATACAAGGCATGACATTATTTTCAATTAATATTTTCCAACCATGTTATTTCAAATATTGATGGTTAAAGGCATTCGGTGCAATCTCAGGGTTGCGAAACTGGAAATATTCTGAATAAGACAATCTGGATATTGACACATACTGTGCCCTATTAGCACATTTGAATCGGAATTTTATACTTTGGGCAGTTAAAACTACAGAAACAAGCTCCAAAATAAGTCCTTTAATTTCTAGGTGGTACCCTACAAATCAATCCAGCTCCCTAAAGCAACCGGTTTTCGTCAGAAGTTTGAACATTTCTTCATTAATGAATTTCATCATCACGAATGTCAATAAACATTGGGACAGTGTTGTTTCAACTCAGTATATAGATAAGTGACTTGAATATTGACTTGGTTTATAAGCTTTCAAATCTATATCGGGTGCCTCTAAATGATTTCTATTATTGCCTCTAAAAAGACTTTTAAAAGTATACATCTCACCAGCTGTTGATAGAAATTTGACAGTAGTTGTCGGTAGGACCTTCGTGGTGTGACTGATGTTGGTAAACGTTTCTGTTGAGAAAGAAGGTGGAGTAGAATAGACGACGGAGGAGCGGTTTTCCTTGTAGGATGAAGTCCACCCTAACGTTGTTGACTGCTTTAGGCTAGTGTTGTCCACCATGTTATCTGAAGTTGTCGACTCAAGCATCACCTACAATTGTGCATAACGGTATTATTTATTTCCGCTGCCTAGCAATGCTCATGCAGAGAGTAACTCTTTTGGGTGACATACATTCCAATGCTGCTAAATAATGTTGTTTACATGATGTAAGTTAATTCGTGACGTGTGTGGAAGGACCTACTGAGTGCCACCTTGTTCCACGAGGATGACCTAAAATAAACTGAAGTTAGCATGAAAGATCATCCTTGTTGGTGCAAGTCATTATGAAATAAAGACTAAGCTTTAACTTCTAACACTAACTGACGAAATAGACAAATCCCGTGAACAAGGTTGATGGAGTCGATCAAAACTTTGTGGTAAGTCCCAATACTTAAAGCTCAGTCTTTATTTCATAATCATCATAGTGACCTGAAGTTATTAATGAAGTATTAATGAAGAAAGACTTGATTTCCATTAATTCAGAGATGATTATTTAGTTACGTAGAATACCAGCTAATTTACCTTCTTTCCAGGTACAAGGCCATGTGAGAGGATCGCAATGACAATAAAAGACGATATCACCATCAGTCCAAAACCCAGGGCAGGCCACTTGAATTTTCTAAAATTCACCTTTATCCACATTCCGATCCCAGGATCTAGAATGTAAGATAAGTAGTAAATGAGATATCATGCAAAAACATACGTTCCTGTTGTTACTTTACGAAAAAAAATCATATAGACCTTTGTATTGGGTAAGTAAAAACGATTTCAAAACATCATAAATAAAATAAATAATTAATAGTAAGTCATTAGCGGACATCAATACCAATGCATAACGTCTGCTTGGAAGACACATAGTTCTTGGATTTTCCACGATTGCAAATGGCAAATTACAAAGGATCGTTTGACATATTTTAGACTACTTAAAAATCAAGTGCCGTTTTGAATTATCAATATACCAATTCCTCTTAGCCCAAATCCCAAATGTAGCTACAGTTCGTTGACCTCCTAACTTCACAAGACAAGATGAGATTTTACTTAATGTTTGAGGTATTTTTAAGGTTTCACATGGATTATACAAACAGAGCCTAGTCGACCGTCTTCTCTTTCCATATAGCCAGGGAGGTATGTAAACTGCTTTTGCGCAAGTCATCTCGATTTTTTGCTTTACTAACTAATTATATTTTTCAGGGATCTTCCGTGTTTGTCTTCGTTAGTGGCTAAAAATAGAGTGTGCCGTCAATATATCTTGTCATAAATGTTGAAATAGGAAAACACTGATTTTGTTAATGAAGATACACATATACGAGAAGTTAATATAATAATAAGATCACGCAAGTGGCAACTACCAAAAAAAAAAACAATAGGAAAGCAACATGTTAATGCAATGCAGTAAAAAGCAGGATTCTAGAAAAGAGGGTGACAAAATGTTTACCTGGTATGTTGGCGTAGGTGGAGTCGGGTGAGTTTGCATCGTTGTCCATGGGCGTGGCGCCTGTGGGAAAATTATAAAATGTAATTCAATTCAATTATTTAGAAGAGCCTGGGCGTTCAACACAAGAAACAAGATGTGGAGAAATAGATAAACTGTACAAGTTTTACCTGCATAAGAGGCGTACATAGGATTGGGTATATTTGCAGTAGCGTCAGCAAGTGCCCTCCAATTAGACTGAGGCTGCTGAATTAATGTTTCGTCTGTAAGGGAATATAGATGAATATATTATTCTAACGGTATAAAACTAGTTGCAAGACTGAGCACATTTACAGATTAATCAGTAAAACAAATCAAAGTTCGAACAGACCGCATGAATAAATTGTTGAATAAAGCACTATAACAATTCATTGCCGCGACAATTAAAGGCTAAAACAGTCATCACAAGCATTTAAACAAGGAAGACTTATCATGTATATAAAGGTTGTGTTGGTATGGTATTGAAATGTAGGCATCCTTCTATTCATCTAGTGTGGCTAATCAGACCTTAGTATAATACTAGTATTCGAAGCTTGGGCACAAGAAACTTGAGATGATATTGTTATTGGGCGGGCTGGCCACTCTCTCTTTGTAGACCAGAACTGAGTTGTAGCTGTTTATGTTTCACCTGACATACATGTAGATATCATATCAATACATGTAACATGCCCTATTGCGTAAACCACTAGAACTGCAGACGTTCCTCTTGAATTATGAAATTAAAATTAGTCTTTATTTGCAATTATTATTGTTCACATGCCTAAGTTACCTATATACCAAAATCTTTGACATTTGTGAACGTCTTTAATTAAGGTAAACGCAAAAGGCACATTAACGTAACAACTTGAAAGCAATGGAAAAATATGATGCTAGAAAATAGAGGGATTTTAAACGTTTTACCCGGTATGGTGGCGTACGTGTGGTCGAGTGTGTTTCCATCGTCGTCCACCCGTGCCTGATCATCATTTTGCGGTTGATCAATTTGTGTGGCCTCTGTTGAAGAATAACACGAAGGAATACATCTATCTGTAGTAATGGGGCATCTAACACAAGTAACAAAAAGTAAGAAGGATGTTTAAAGTCTACTGAGGAAGACCAGAGTGACTGTTTGCTATAAAGGATTTTACCTGAATTAGAATCGCACATATGGTTAGGTACACTCGACAAAGCGGCAGCAGGTGCAGTCAAAGGCCCCTGCGTAGATGTTTCATCTTGGAAGAAGAAAAAAGGAATTTACAATAGAGTCATATTGTCGGTAAAAACATTTGAGTTTAGCACAATAGATAAGCCCCCCCCCCTCCCCAAATAAAAGAGACTATGATGCTTAACCTTATTAAGTTAATGACAATACAGATGAACATTCATGTTTTACCTTCTTTAGCTGAGTACACAATGTGCGGTACAGACGTAACGGAGTTCGCGAGAGATCGCCCATAACTCTGAGGCTGCTCAATGGGTGTTTCTCCTGAAACAAAAATCAGAGAAAATTTATACATTTTAGCTGTTGAGCTAGAGTCCATTCCGCGTCACCGCGTGGTTTTTTTCTCCATGTTTCTAATACGTTTGAATTATTTAGAATAAAAGAATACCTCAGTAACAAAAGTTCTAAATTTTTCAAAAGTTTGAAAATGAAAATTTGAATATATTTGAATTCATTTATATATTTCTGAAAAATTTTGAAAGTGACAAAGATCTCTTTATTTAGAATAAATTTGAACTACCCATGTGTTTTTTTCACAATTCGAAATATTTAGAACTATTTCAAACAAATAACCAAATGGTAGATGTGGGTAATTGCCCCCATAAAAGTAGGTGCTAATCCGACTCTTCTGTCTTCCTCTGTATATTTTTAGATTTCACTGCTGGACACTGGTGGCTCTTTTGTTGTAAGGCATCAGTGCCTGACACCCAGGCAGTCTACCCTGTACTTCACAGGGATGTGTGAATTACTTCCTTCCCATCCCACTGACCTATTTACAAAATGTTAGAAATAATTCGAAATAATGGTAAAAAATGGTAGAGTGCTGTTAGAAATATTTAGAAACTATTGGAAATGTCATAATCCACATCAGGAATATTTCAAACGTTTTAGAAAACCAGGGAATTATTTAGAATATTGACAAGATGTTCAAAATATTTCCAAATTATGAAATTTCTTAGACAAACAATTACAAAGAATTCAAAACATTTCTAAATAATGACAATAACAACCCACTCGGTGACGCGGAATTGACTCTATTGAAATATATTGAAATGAATTAAAACATATTAAAACATAATTCAATATTAAAGCTTGATTGAAAACAATGCAGGAAAATGCTTCCTCAGCATAATAATTTAACTTAAACGTTGATGACAAAAAGAATAAATTTAGTTCAATCTTGTGTAATGAATTTACACCAAAAAACGCCAAATACATTGTTACTAGAATCAAAAATACCTGCGTCGCTAGTCTGAGACCGTTGCTGTTCTTCTGACATGATGACACTTGTCAGACTAAAAAAGCACCAGGCCAGGAGGTTGTCTTCTCACTTATGACCATAGACACAAACTGCTGTCCAACAAAATCGCTAAAATAGAAACTGAAGGTGAAAGCAATTAATTTTTGCTTGATAACAAACAGTGCGAACATCAACCCAATGCATTATGCATTGTCCTGTCAGCAACCGGTCAGCAACCTCCGCCTAGATGCATTCATAATGATTGCAAGCATTGAACCGGAGGATGTTGATCGGTCAAAAATTAACCGTCGCAAACAGTTTGCAAATGAATGCTGTCTTTTTTTCTAAAAAAATGGCAAGAAATTAAAACGTATAAACTGAAAATTAGAGTAGAAAA